GGGCAGGGGCAGGGCAGGGGCAGGGCAGGGCAGGGCAGGGCAGGGCAGGGCAGGGCAGGGCAGGGCGTTTAGGGGTTGCAGGCTTTACAAAGGTGTGGGGCTCCCTTTTCCTGCCGGGGCCGGGGAGGGGGGGTTAATGTAGGGGCCTGAATAATTACCAATACTAGTTTGGGGGTTCCTTGTTATAATTGTAGTATGATGGGGCCCAAAACCCTGTTCGAATTAATAAGGCCCCCACATTATAGAGTTTTTGTTGGGTTCAGGTGTTCCCAGAAATTGTAGTGGTTGCAGGCTTTGGCGTATGCATTGTTCTGGAGAACAACCATGGAGAGAGCAATCAGTTTGTGCGTCCGTACATCGCAGGTACAGCATACGCCTTTTTTAGGCATAGTGCAGATATACACATCTGCTTCTAAAACCTGTATGCAAAGACCACTTAGCTTCCGCAGCAACGAAACGGTCTGGAAGTTGGGCGGCGCACTTTTTGTGTATCTGGAGGTTTCTACAGACTGGCGTCTCTTTCCTAAGGTTTAAATTGCATCGGGTTTGCACTTGTTGGCATCCCTCGTTTTGCACAGCCACTCACTTTATTCCGTTGCGTATTCCCAAGACCTGTGTCCAAAAACCCAAGTCTGGCTATTTGGCCGGTCTTTCAAATCAGCACCCACCCAGCTCGGGACAGAACCGAAAGCTCTCAGCGGAAGCATACGAAAGCATCCCAGAATGAGTGCCCCAACACTCTTGCCTAAACCCACAACCCTAAACCCTAAACCCTAAACCCTAAAGAACAAACCCTAAACCCTAAACCCCAAACCCTAAACCTCTCAGAAGCTCTTAAAGCTAAGGTTTCAGGGTGGGCGAAAGGCAGAAGTTCGCCAAGGACACAGGCCGGGCCGGGTGGCGCCTGTGAAAAGTAGGTGAAGTGGGTGAAATCTACTTTGGATGGAGAGAGATGGGCGAATGGATGGACTGACGAATCCCTGAGAGAGGAAGAGAGAGAGAGATATCGCTACGTTGTTCTAGATATCATAGTGAAACATGCCACACCCGGAAGTTTTCACATCCCCTCAAAGCCCCATAACAAATGGGGGGCCACTAGGCCGGGGGATCTAAAACATCCCCCATGCCCAATGAAAGAAAAAAAGAAAAAAAGAGAGAGAGAGAGGGGGAGGACAGAGAGAGAGAGAGCGAGAGACAGAGACAGACTGGCGGACATGCAGAGAGAGGCAGACAGACAAGTAGACAGGTTGAGGATGGTTATCCGTGGACGCACATAGAGGTTGTATTGGAGTGCAAAGCATCGAATCTGTGCGGCTCAGGCAAGATCAAAATCTATCGGCTGTATAGTGGCTGTCTGGATCCTCCCTTGCCCCCTAGTCCCAAATCAACTAGACCTGAATCCCGTTTTTTCTTCAGAGAATATGAGTGCTTCTTCCTATGGTGAGAATAGGGACTATGCTTCCAGCAGCGAGAATTAGTCCGTGAGTCGCTGGACCAAAGAGCACAGGTGCCGGCGTCTACTGCACGCCCATGATCGACGTGGCCTCGCTGTAAAAAACTGTGTCACATATGATCTGATGATAATATATGGACCTTAATTTATAATTACCTATACTATTGTTTTGGTTCCTTATTAGAAGTATAGTATAATATACATAATATACCCCAAAACCCTATTCTAGTTATCAAGGTCCGCACATTACTTCCTTTCAGTTTTCCATCAATCCAAAAACTCGGAACCCTACCGCCCTCATTCGGGAGCCCTCGTCCCGAACATGAGGCTTGCCGACGTCTGATAGACAGTGAAAGCATTGCGGTGGAAGTTTTACGGATCGACTCAGAGCAAGCAAACCTATGACTTACATGGTTGTTGTATTATCTGTATACGGTTCGTGAGGCTGTTGGCATTCAGGAGTTACTCTTTGATGGCCTTCAGGCTTCACAGGTGTTCTTCTTCAACTTTAATGATGCAGAACTTGTGGTTGTGTGCGTGGCCTGGACCCCTCGCGGAACCGAGGCTGCATCCGCGTGCTTGTTTCCATGCATCTGTAGATGCTATGCTTCAGAGACAGACAACACGCCCCCAACCTCAACCGTACACCAGAAACCCTGAAACCCGACCAAACTCCCAAAGCCCTCAGCCAGAAGCCCAAACATCCTAAAACCCTACACCAGAAGTCGCAACATCTTAAACCCTCAAACGAATGTGGCTTCATCAGCACCAAACCCCCATGCACTCCAATCCCATGACAATGCAGCATCAGCAAGCTCACTTCTCCAGAGAAGGCTGCTGATGATGTCCCATGTACATGCGTAGACAAATACGTGCATATCTACATACATACATGCATGCATACATACACACATACATACATACATACATACATACATACATACATGCATACATACATACATACATACAAAGGTTTTTACATACGTATATACATACATGGTGATGACGACGACGATGCTGAGCAACCCTAGACAATGGATTGCATTCATAATGTGCTGTCATCGCTGTTACAGCCCTCAGTATCGTCCCAGTTCCTGCATAGTGCTCTTCTAGTTTGACCTCTTTTGGGTTTGGAGGCAAATACCTACTTCAGGGGTTCTATAAGTTACAGTTATAGCCATTGCATTGTAACATGAGCTCAGGTGGCGCAGCACTACTCGAAGCCTACGCTGCTTCGAGGTGGGCCATGCCCTGTGTCCCGAGAACAGCTGCGTAGCAGTCGCAACAGAGAAAAACTAGCAGCAACGAGGAAGAAGCGTCTTCATCGCAAGTTGCATCCTATGAAAGTAAGAACAGTGTGAAAAAGACGGAGGTGTGAGAGAGAGAGAGAGAGATGCTGAATCTCGGTTGGAGTTCCGGGTATATCCCGATAGACGCCCGATAATAACCCCCTGTAGCACCCCTCGTTGTTACTCCAATAGAACCCTACTTGGAGGATCATGGGACTTAGTAAGTAAGGTTATAAGAACCCTAATTGGGGTTATAATTATAGTTGCCTTATGTGTAACCCTAGTTTCTAAGTCCCATGATCCTCCAAGTACCCTAAACTCTAAACCCTAAACCCTAAAACCCTAAACCCTGAACTCTGAACCCCTGAACCCCAAACCCCTAAACCCTAAACCCTAAACCCGTAAACCCTAAACCCTGAACCCCCGAGCCTTGAAGCAGAAGCCCTGCGCCCTGGCTTTACGAAGCTTTTCCCTGGCGAGGGCGCAGTGTACAAATCGTTCTGCAACTTCGCGTCCGGCCGTCGGCCATCAACCCGGTGACGAATCCGAGTGCCCCCCGGGCCTTTATAATGATATGAGGGTTCCGAAAGGTTTTTGTTCGATGGGTTCCAAGGATTTTTCCAGAGTCCTGTCAAGCTTTATAGGAGTTTCAGAGGGTCTCTGGTCAGGTTTCTATAGGGTTTTCCAAGGGTTCTAGTGGGTTTTAGAAGTGTTGTCCGAGAATTGATGAGCATGTGCCCTATCCGAGTACCACTTGGGTCAGCCACTTCAAGGTTTACGGTTTAGGGTTTAGGGTTTAGGACTTAGGCCGTGCCGGTTTCGGCGTCTAGCAGTGTAGGGGTCAGGGTTTCGGGCGCGCTTCCTTGCGCTTGGCATCACATCGCAAACCAGGCGCCTTTTGATTTGTGTCATGCATTGAGGTTGGGATGGGGCTCATGTGTACGCGAACACACAAACCCTTTTCTTAGTGAGTTGTTTTGTAGTCTATAAGGCCCTAAATTTAACCCTAAACCCTCAACCAAAAACCCTAAACCCTACTTTCGACCCTATAAGAATTCACGAGACCGCGAGAGAACACTTTCTAGCCTGTGCTTCAACATGGCAGCCCGGAAATAGAGAGCCTTGCACTCCTGAGCCTCAAGTGAAAAACTCGTGAGCTCTAGGGTTTAGGGTTTAAGGTTTAGGGTTTAGGCTTTAAGGTTTACTAGGGTTTCAAGCCGAAGCGCAGCCTACAGCTCCAAGAGCAAGCGACCCAGGCTCATGAGTTTGAGCGGAAGTACTGGGTCATCAACAACCCTGACGACATTCGTGCATACGGCGTCCTAATCAGGTACCGTGGGCGCGAGTTTGAGAAGGGTTGGGGAATTTCGAGACCAGGGGTCTGTTCGGAGATCTAGCAGGGTTGCTCCAATAGAGAACGGCTGCGCTCTGTTCCGATCATGCAGGTCCGAGAGGTCTCCGCGCCCACCACCTGACTCATCCATCCCTGCATGCAACACTTCTGTAAACCCTAAACCCTAAGCCTCAAACCCTAAACCCACCCTATTACTAAACCCTAAACCCTAAACCCTAAACCCTAAACCCTAAACACTAAACCCTAAACCCTAAACCAACCAAGGCCTGAACCGTGGAAAGTAAGAGCGGATCCCTACAGACCCAAAGCCCGAAGCCGCAAACAGGGAGCTCCCGCTGCGCGACTACATCCTGCCAGAGGCGAAGTACGGTCCCGGGGATATTTGAGACTTCAATATCCCTGAAGTAAGGAATATACCTTAAATCATATCGGGGATCCTACTATAATTTTAAGTATATTCCTCAAATAAGGGATATTGGAGTTTCTGGGATATCTGATAGTAGGGTTCATAAGGGTTTAGCGTGTAGGGTTTAGGGGGAGGGTTTATAAGGCTTTAGGGTTTAGGGGTGTAGGGTTTAGGCTAGGGGTGTAGGATTTAGGAATGTTTAGGTTTAGGATATCTGATAGTCTTATACTCTTCTTCCTCTTGAAAAGCCTAGACAGTTTGTATTTTTTTGCCTATCATTTCGGTCAACTCCGGCCTAGTTATCATAATTTAGGGGCCTCAACAATTACCTACGTTATTTTGGAGGCTCCTGCTCATAATTATTATAGTAGAATATGCCCCAAAACCCTATTTTAATCATTGAGGCCCCTACATTAGACGGGTTTTCACGGTCTAGGACGTCCCATGACCAAGGCTGCATTTAATATGCGTTGTAGGATATCACTACCATGCGGACAAAACGCCTTGTGCAATGATTAGCAATCGTGGTGAGGAGCACGAATATAGGTGGCGATGATGATGATGATGATGATGATGTTGACGATAATGATGACACGACGACGAGGATGATGATGATGATGATGATGATGATGATGTTGACGATGAGGATGAAGAGGATGACGAAAACGATGACGATGGGGATGGATGATGTGATGGCAATGATGTTGATGATGAGGATGATGGTGACGAAGGTGACGGTGATGACGGTAATGATGATGTGGTTGATGAGGATGTTGTTGATGGTGCTGATGATGGTGATCGTGGCGATGATGATGATGATGATGATGATGATGATGATGATGATCTTGCTGTTGCTTGCCTTGGACAGGTCATCGTCTTCGGCCGGGACAACCCGGGTATTCGCCGCCCGGCGATAGATTCTGTCGTTGAGTAAAGTTGAGCGATCATTGACGCACGAGCCGAGCGGCTTGCACGCCCAAAATCAATTGCGGTGAGTCCGCAACCCGTTGGTAGTGGCTCGGGTTTGAGTAAACTCCGAAGTCTACTCTTGAAGCCTAGACCGAAGCAGAACTGGTTGTACCACGAGTAAGATAGAAGCTACCCGGCTGAAAATACCAATTTTCAGAAGTGATGGTCATGGCAGCAGTATTTGTAATAGCAGCTGCGAGTGTCCTGACGAACTTGTTGCCTTTACAGGTGTCTCTGCTTTCTACGGCGACTGCTACCGACGCAGCTTCTGCAAACACGACGACGACCAACACGCTACTTCCACCTCACTACAGCTTCGTATTGCTGTTTGCAGCACTTTCTACCACGATAACTCAGCTTCTTGCTTCTGTCGAAAGTGGCATGTTGTGGCCGCTGTCGTCGTGGTGCTGGTCGTACTAGTCGTCTTTGTTCTGGTTGTAGTTGCTGCTGCTGCTGCTGCTGCTGCTGCAACAGCTGCTGCTGCTGCCGCTGCTTGTGGTGGTGGTGGCGGCGTCGGCGTTGGGGGTGTTGGTGTTGGTACTGCTGCCTTTTGCTCTGACAGTTAATGGCCAGCGAGAAGACGTGCTTCGGCGACAAATTCAGCTCGATGCATCTCGAAATTAAGTTTGCTGGAACCGGTTCAAGTGTTCTAGTTCACCAACGCGCGTTTCAAGTCATCTTCACAGGCATCAACAACCATCATGATCTCCGCCGCTGTCCATAGCGCTGACAGCTAACATCTGATAATATAGAAGCCTGAATCATTACCAACATGTTCTTTACGGTTCCTCATTATCCGTGGACTCTTACACTATAAAATACCCCAACACCCATCTCTGAGAATTAAGGCCTTTTTGTTTGTCCTGCCTGCTGCAGGTGATAAGTTGGACCAGCTGGAGGAGGAGATCCGGGAGCAGGAGAAGGAGTTGGCCAAGTGAGGGAGTGAGGTTGGAGTCTTCGGCATTTTGGGGCCAAAGCTGTGATGACAGAAAACGGCGCTTTCCTAGACACCGCGCCTCAGGGTGGAGACTATTGTGGTGCATGTTTCGACTATAGGCTGGGTGCTGGCGCCCCGTAGTGCCTCCAAAACTGGATGTGCACTGCACGACGTATGTGGTCCTCCTGCCAGAAGCCGCACGTTCAAGCACCTCTAATAGCCAAGGCCCGTTGGTGACTTATAGTAACCTTTGAAAAGGAGCGTTCGCAGGAAACATTTTCATGATTGAGGCCCCTATACCACCCGCTTCCAAGACATGGGAGCTCAGCCCGAAACGTGATGCTCCTGGCAGGGTCCACAAGCTGTGACCACGAAGCTCGGGGTGTAGTCATCGTTCATAGCGAGAGCGACGTGTTCCGGGCAGTTTTGGGAGGGCCAATAGGTCCTTTCAACTAGTAGTTGCTAGGTGCAACATGTGCTACGTGGTGGTTCTTTGCTGCTTGTGTTCTCGCTGGCATGCCAAAAATTTGCCACTAGCTGCACGTTGGCAACTAGATGGGAGAGTCTGGCTCCCAGTAAGATCATGTACGGAGCAAGGTCCAACATGACTTGGTATTGCTTGAGATCATGTTGTGTTTGGTATCGGTTCAATTCCACGAGAGACTTACGCCCTTTTGGGCTTGTCCACCCTTGCTGTCCTGGTACGAGTAGCAGTAGCAGTAGTAGTAGTAGTAGTAGTAGTAGTAGTAGTAGTAGTGGGAGTAGAAGAAGTAGTAGTCGTAGTAGTAGTAGTAGTAGTAATAGTAGTAGTAGTAGTAGTAGTAGTAGTAGTAGTGGGAGT